CAATCACAACACCATTAATACACTCAACACTTATCACTATTTCCACTGTTTTTGGCCTAAATGTCACTTCAAAACTCGAAATCAAAGTGAATTAACAAGACATCAAGTGAAACACTCAAAAGATAAACAATTTAAATGTGATTTTGATAATTGTAATAAAGTTTCTAGGTGCAAAACAGCTCTATTTCTCCATAAAAATGTCGTTCATTTAAACGTGAGACATGTATGCGATTGGAGTGAATGTGACAAACAGTTTACACCGAAATCACATTTACTTCGACACAAAAGTAGTGTTCATTTAAAACAAAATGCAATGAAAATTGTGGCAAAAGTTTTTCATCAAAGCATTCACTCATTGAACACAAACGCATACATTCGACCGAAAAGCCGTTTATTGTCATATAAATGGATGTCTTAAAAGGTTTTCATCAACTTTCAAGTTTATATCGACACAAATGCAGACATTATCAGCAAAAGTGATTTGTTTGTGTAGTTATTAAATATAAACAACTTTTATAAACTAATAAAATAATAGTTTATCGTGATTGTACTGCATAAGTTTTTATTATGATGTTTGAAAACATTTAATTAAATAAAATAATTTCCCCAAAACTGATCGCAAATATTTTCAAATGGATCGATGAACACATGTTTAGCTTTCAATGGATTCAAATCCATTACTTGTGTCTCAAAACTATTTGTCTTATTTTCTATGAGATGAGGCCATTGAGTGTCGGGTTTCCTATTAAATCAAAAATCAATTATTTAATACCTAGATAATTTAATTCTGATAGAAATCACCAACAACATACCCATATTTAGCAAAATTAGTCCAATATTGCATGACTTGAACACTAAAATCAATTTGAGTTTTTGTATAATTCTTGGGCTCCATAAGTGGTACACCAAACACATAGCCAGTCTCAGCCCCATGACATACATCCCCTTCAGGGCAAACCCATGGCATACCTTTACCCGCATACGTCTGTTCATAGAAATAGACACCACTTTGTGGGGAATGTATGGCATATTGTTTGGCGAAATGATATGTCGGACACTTCATCATTATATCCCCGTAATAGTCATAAAAAGCGCGTTTAATGGCATTAGTGTCACTCGTATTGACATTCTTGAGATAAAATTCAGTAATTATTGTCTCATTTAATCCATAAAACAATGTCTTCCTCCGTAAGTGAGGAAGGTACTTATCGAGAAGTCAGTATAAGTACACAACTTACAGGCCATTATGGTAGCTACGGTCACTACACGGGAGCAAGACCTGTTGGGGAGGATAATATAGATTTAGACTATCACATTTGTATTGAAAATTATTTATAAATTAAATTTAAACCTCTGGAGTTGAGACATACCCTGGTTATACTTGTGTTCTTTAAAGGCATTTTGTGCCAAAAGTGGTAAAACCTGATCCCCTTCGAGAGGCATCTGTACGACAGGCGTGTATTTAATCATCTCTTTGACATCAGCTCTTCTCAAACACTCTAACCATTCATTTTGACTACAATTCAGATTTTCGGCTAAACTTTTCGATGCAATCAAAGCATCATTTTTATTGACGCCTTCCCTCCCCTTATAGTGAAATATGGCCCCACTTTCGTATTATCGGGAGGCCTTATCTGGGGCTCTATTGCCTCTATTATGGTCACAACTGTGGCTGTATGATGGCCGTGAAGGTGGTTTATAACACTGGACTAGGGACAAGGGTGGTTTACTCACATATAAATCTCGAACCTATTATTAATAAACAAATTTTTCTATTAATTTATAATTCTTTTTAAAAATGTTTATTAATTAATACCCATTCGAGAGCCAACATCTGGTCTAAGAGCCCGACATTTCCGGGCGCCGACTCCACCCCTCCGTACGTGAACCCAAGGAATCCAAGCCTATAATTAATGGTGACAATAGTGAGGTCATGGGAGGCCAGTGCTGTGCCATTGATGTCCGGGAATTGGAAACTGGAGCCCACGATAAAGCCTCCGCCGTGTATGTAAACCATGACTGCTTTTAGGTCGCCATTCGACCTATTATTTTGTGAACTAACTGTCCATATGTTAAGAAACAGACAGTCCTCGCTCTGGTTGACATCGTTGGTGAAGTGTCTGACCGGTTGTGGACACATGTCCTTCACTTTTGTGCCATCGATTAGCTTTTAAATATATTTATTTTAAAATTCACCTTGTCAAGCTTTTAAAGTGTGAATGGTATATTTTACCGGTGCCGGCCATTTAATAGGTTTTGGTGGTGCGAACCTGAGATTCCCAACCGGGGGCTCGGCATATGGTATACCCAAAAACTGGTCAATACTTTTATTGAAGGCCTGTATTGTCTGCCCTCTCACTACACCTGATGTCGTGTACACATCAACACTGATAATGCATTTTATGCACAAAATTAATATTAAAACACTTGAAATGATAATTGATTTCATTTTTGATTTGAAAAACTAGTAATAAATACTAATTGTAAAATGCAAAAACTGTTTTCCACTATATTTATATTACATTAGAATTGTCTTATCTATTTATGCGCTCATTGTGATCCAGTTCATTTCTTGCAGATTCTCATTTTTAATCTTATAGTAACATACAGTATATAATTGCGATAAAGTCTTACCCAATGATTGTTATAACAGGATGCAAACGAATGATTAATTACTTATGACTTGACTTTTGTTTAACATTTTATTATTTAGTATAGTATTGTGATAAATATGTGCCTTTGTATTAATTAAACCTTGAGTATCTAAAATTGATCCAGAATTGGCATAGACAATTTATGTTGTTATGATAGACTAGAATCTAGATTCTAGATAGACTAGTCACTAGATTATTGCAATATAGGTACAGTAGTTAAGTTTTTACTGATATTACTGGTACCGTATGATATATGTTGAAAAACAATGTATTATATTTGCAAACTATTTTTTGTTTAATTGCACAATTTATTTAAAAACACAGGCTAGATTTAATTTATAAAGTAAATTCTTAACATAGAAATTGTTTTTAATTATCATGTATTTGAATAAAATTACCAAAAATATCTTGATAATGTATCTATCATAAATATGATGTATTAATTATACAAAATATGTTCGCCATACACCATCACATGTACTCTCAAATGGGTTAACCATAACCGGTGTGTCTGTGTGTGGGTAACCCACACACAGACACACCGGTTATGGTTAACCCATTTGAGAGTACATGTGATGGTGTATGGCGAACATATTTTGTATAATTAATACATCATATTTATGATAGATACATTATCAAGATATTTTTGGTAATTTTATTCAAATACATGATAATTAAAAACAATTTGTATGTTAAGAATTTACTTTATAAATTAAATCTAGCCTGTTTTTAAATAAATTGTGCAATTAAACAAAAAACAGCTTGCAAACGTAATAAATATTTTTTTGTTTACATTATTTGTTGAACATATATCATACGGTACCAGTATTACAGTGACTGTACAGTATAATAAATCGTAAAATATTTTTGTAGATAAAAAGGTCTAGTTTATTTTATAACCAAAATGTCTAACTTTTTGCGCTACTTATTAATCCAGTTTTAAGTAGACTTTATGGGATTTTTTATCACCAATTTGTTATGAATAACTAGTTTTTTTAAATAAATTTTAAATAATTAAGGGTTAATGTTATTTTTAATGCATAATTTAATTGTTTTCAGATACAATTTTAATAATCTATATTACTATTAATAAGTTATAATAAAATACATAATAATTTCAATAATAAATATGTCGGCAAAGAGTGTATCAAAAGATTGAAAGTTTATTTCCGGTCCTCTAAGTCACTCTCATTTAAGTCATTGTTTTAATGAAAATCAATCGAAACTTCAAGTTTTTAATCTTTTGATAGACTCGTTGAAAACATATCGATAATGTCGTGACAAGTCTTATATATTATATAATAATTTCTAATAATTATAGCGCATATTTTGGTATTTCTATGTAATGCCTAACATTTCAAAATGTTTTCCATAGACTTTTCAAATAGTTTTAAATTACTCTCATAAATAGCATTAAAACACAAATCAATAATTGTTTTGAATAATTGCAAAAAAACTTAAAATATTATGAATTTCTTTAATAAATAATTTTGAATAAGTTTTACATGTAGACAGTATATTAATAATAATAATTGATCTTGAGACATTAACTCATGATTTATCTGTTCCAAGTTACTTTTTTAGTACATTACAATTTGTTATCAAAATACAGTACATGTTTATAACTATTAAGTCCTGCTAACATTAAAATACACTTTTCTGTAAGGGATCATTCAATAAGTACGTACGCACTGGATGGGGGGAGGGGGATCAGCCAAATCATGCGTACACAATGTTAAAGTCCTATGTACGAGGGGCGTTTCAATTTTTAGACAAATTTTTGCGTACGTACTTATTGAATGGCCCCTAAACATAAATTATTTCTGTAATCCCAGGTAAATATAAATCCCAGATCCTAATTATAGTGTCGATATAAAGGATTACCGGATAAATAATGGCCAGTATTTGTAAATATTTCATTTAATATTCTAAACATTAGAATCTAAAGGTTTTATTAGGTGGTTCATTTTTAATTTAATTTTCAAAACCAATGCTTACAATATTATTCATTCCATAAATGTATTCTCAAATGAATAAATCTTTTATAAAAATGAATAATAGATTAAATAATATGTGTTATTTTCGAGATTTGTGTCAAAGTTTAGACAAAATACAAAGTTTGTACAGTCTATTTTGTCACAAAATGCAAAGTGTTTTGTGTTTTGAGATTGAATGCGAAAATGCAGTGAATTTGTCAGTGAATTGCAATTCAATTGATTTGAATTCATGTAAAATAAGTGATAAAATGCTTTCCAATCACAACACCATTAATACACTCAACACTTATTGATATTTCCACTGTTTTNTAAGTGATAAAATGCTTTCCAATCACAACACCATTAATACACTCAACACTTATTGATATTTCCACTGTTTTTGGCCTAAATGTCACTTCAAAACTCAAACTCAAAGTGAATTAACAAGACATCAAATGAAACATTCAAAAGATAAACAATTTAAATGTGATTTTGATAATTGCAATAAAGTTTCTAGGTGCAAAACAGCTCTATTTCTCCATAAAAATGTCGTTCATTTAAATGTGAGATTTGTTTGCGATTGGAGTGAATGTGACAAACAGTTTACACATAAATCACATTACTTCGACACAAAAGTAGTGTTCATTTAAAACAAAATGCAATGAAGAAAATTGTGGCAAAAGTTTTTCATCAAAGCATTCACTCATTGAACACAAACGCATACATTCGGCCGAAAAGCCATTTATTTGTCATATGAATGGATGTCTCAAAAGGTTTCATCAACTTTCAAGTTTATATCGACACAAACGCATACATTATCAGCAAAAGTGATTTGTTTGTGTAGTTATTAAATATAAACAACTTTTGTAAACTAATAAAAAGTAGTTTATTTAAATGGCATTTATATGACAACATCCTGAATCAAGATTCTTGATTGTACTGTATATAAGAAGTCTGAAAACATTTAATTAAATAAAATAATTTCCCCAAAACTGATCGCAAATATTTTCAAATGGATTGATGAACACATGTTTAGCTTTCAATGGATTCAAATCCATTACTTGTGTCTCCAAACTATTTGTCGTATTTTCGATGAGATGAGGCCATTGAGTGTCGGGTTTCCTATTAAATCAAAAATCAATTATTTAATACCTAGATAATTTAATTCTGATAGAAATCACCAACAACCTACCCATATTTAGCAAAATTAGTCCAATATTGCATGACTTGAACACTAAAATCAATTTCAGTTTTTGTATAATTCTTGGGCTCCATAAGTGGTACACCAAACACATAGCCAGTCTCAGCTCCATGACATACATCCCCTTCAGGGCAAACCCATGGCATACCTTTACCCGCATACGTCTGTTCATAGAAATAGACACCACTTTGTGGGGAATGTATGGCATATTGTTTGGCGAAATGATATGTCGGAC